AAATGACTTCGATAAATGATATATTATATATATATATATATATATATATGACCTGTCTTATATGGTTTTAAAGATCGAATCGTGTCATGTGTTGCGCTCAATACTCCAAATCTCCCTTACCACAAAATTGAATTTTTATTTTGTTGTATTGATTACTATAATCCATATCCATATTCCATACTGATGTAACTTAAAACCAATGGCCAGAAATTGTTATAAGGCCAAATCGTAAAATAATTGTCGTTCTAAAATTATTTATTTTGTCTTGGACCAATGACTAAAATGTAAAAAGGATGGGAAAGTTAGTTTCCCCATTAGTTATTCTTTCCGTGGTTAGAAATACAAATTATTTTACGAATTATCCTTTTGTGTAGTTGGATAAGATGTACTTTGGGCTCTGTGGATCATATATATAGGTTCTTAATAGTGATTAGATTATGGTTAGTGCTTAAATAAAGGCGGACCAACAATGAGTTGGTAAAATTTTGGGTATTCGCTGGTAGTTAGGATTAGACGTCGGTTTGAGTGTAGGAGTTTGAGGTTAGACTTAAATGTATATTAGTTTTGGGGATGTTTAGAGTTTATGAAGTTGAGGTTATGGTTTAGATTCTGTGATTTATAGTTTAAATATAAAAAATTGTTCATTTAAATGTGAAATAATATTTTTTAAAAAGAACGAATAAAAGTTTCTAATTTTTTGTGAAAGTTTTAATGAAACATATGAAAGATATGTTCTTTATAATAAAAAACATATGAAAGATATATGTTAAGTTTGTTGTAGTTCTGGACATATTTTTATTACAAAAGAAATATTTTCTATTATGCTTAATAATGTTTGAGATATAATTTTAGCTGGGGATTTCGAAACGTAACATATAATAAGATAAAATGTTGAATGAATAACTAAAAACATAAAACACAGCTAAAGTTCAACTAAATTTCATTGGCATTTAGAGTAGGCAAAATATCAGATGATAATTACTTTACCTATATATAGTAACTTTTTAAATGCAAATGTATGCCGTACTAAAAATTTGGTGTGCACATGGAAATCTACCAACTACCAAATTTTATTTTTACTACTATCTAATTTACCTAAATGCAAATTGGTATATAAAACCTCTAATTTAATCCATTTGAATCATCCTTAAAGTATGAACAGCTTATCTTTCATAAACAGATACCAAAAATTAATATTTTTTTATTTAATTTTATGACTATTAATATTCTGCAATAAATTTTATTATTGGCCAGATTATTCTTAGTTATGTATTAAGTTATGTTTTTAATATAAAAAATACAAAACAAAATAAATGTTAATTACTTTTTTGAACTTTGTATTTTACTCAAAACATTTTATATTTTGAAGGAGAGAAAGTATCAAAAAGTACTAATAAATAAATTTCAGGTGAAAATGTCAATCCCGAATATATTGATAGGTTAATAATTTTTAACGAAATAATCTTTCTGAAATAATGTCAATAGATAACATGGAACGTTGGTGGGGGACCACGTAATTTGCTTTGTGAGGTTGTGTACTTGATTGCTTTGTACTCACGTGATGCGTTGTGAATGGGCCTTTTACAATCTTTTAAATGAAAAAAAAAAAACACACACACACACAATCAAGTATATGTATTTACTTACGTATTTATTCGCCTGCTTTGATTTAAACGTATAAAAATAAAACCTTAGTATATGCTCTGGTATATTGATATTAAAAAAAACATACGATAGATTGAAACTGTCCCCAGTTTGATATTCATATCCAACATGCGCATTACCACTCACAAAACACAATTATGCTTCACCTCCACTTTGATTAGTTTTTAATATATAAGTACTTTTGTTTTTTCAAACCTCTAAAAATATATACAAGAAGACTTCTGCGGATCTATGCTGTATTAGGGCATTTTAATTGTTGACCCAAAAAATATATATATATATATATATATATATAATTAATTTTTGTTATAATCTTTATGTAGTTCACATAGTTTTTTTAATCATCGGATGATGATTAATAAAAAAACTATACTGTTCAGGTATTTCTTCCATTTCGTTTTAAGAATATCAATATTAATTTATTCATATAATTAAATGTTGTTTCAAACTTTTAATTATTTTCGAATCACAAATATTTCGTTTAGACATAGTAAACAATTAAAAGTTAGATACTAAACAGAATTTTAAGACTCGATTGCAAAATGATATGATATTATTTACGTGAAAACACTTTAGTATGTTTTACAGTTTTACTTCATTCATAAATATTGATCTAAATATTTCAAGTGTCTGAATTTAAGACAATTCTATTCATGAAATTTAAATATATATATATATATATATATATAATATATATATATATATATTTCAATTTATGATCAATGTAAAATAAATTGATCCTAACATACAATATTTCAAGTAAACTATGGTTATACATACTAACAGTCTTGTATGTACATAATAAATTGATCACGAGTTTGTACGTCTACGCAAACGAAATGTTTTTGGAATGGAGCACAAAGAAGATCAGATATATCTAAACGTTTCCAATAATTTTTACTTGTTAATTGTAATAAATATTAAGAACTCTTTATGGTGGTTTTCCAATATCATACGAATAGGTTGATTTTTTCGCTCATGTTTTTATAGTTGACATTTTAGAGGTTTTCTAAGTTTGATTGAGTACGTAAATAAATACGTGTAGAGTTTTATTAAGTGTCAATTTATTGATATGTAAGTGGACCTTCGGTTTATTTTTAAAATTTTTGACAAAGTTTCATTGATATATATTTCTTTGATATGTATGATTTGCACGATGAGGCGAACATCATGTAGGCCTACGTTGTATATGCATACTTAAGTGATATAGATTGACGACAAAAAAAAAATGTGATATAGATAAATCTGAATAAAACTAATTAAAACCATCCAAATATCCGAAGAGGTACATTTTGTCTTCTGTACCTACTTTTGTTGTCATCTAACTTTTATATTTCTCAAAATGAAATTTCTGTTTCTGGAGCGATGTATGTCACAGTATGTATTATTGTATCCATAAACCTATAATATGTACGTTTCCTTTTAAACAAGGGTTAATTAAAGGCAATAGAACAATTCTAAGTGTGTATGATATATAGAAAACCAGTCAAATACATGCAATAGAATCAGTGCGGTCATTCTACAATAAAGAAATGTTAAAGAGGTAAAAAAAGATGATCAGTAATTTAATTTCGTTGTTGTCAAATTGACACGGTATATAGAAATTAGAATGATTCAAACTAAACGTATTAGCATTATAGTGATTGACACGATTATTTTCCATAAAAATTTAGGTCAGTCATAAGATCATTTGATCCTATATGATCATCCTACAAATTTCTATAAGTAAAAAATAATAGGGCGAAAAAAGAAAACGTTAGTGCGATGGATATTCAATATGGTGTTATATGTTCTTTGCTTATCTAGCAAATAAATTTTAGGTCACTCACCACCAAAAATTCGTACCAATATGGTTGATATGGACTGCGAAAAAAAAGGAGAAACGTGCATCTTTGATAATACAATCATATTCTCTTTCAAAAAAGAAATGGTTCGATTTGAAAAAGAAGAAAGTAATGGATCGATAAATATATATGTATTACCCAAGAATCACAACTTTGCTTAAACCAAGTATATTGGCAACACTAAGATGCCCATTGCCCACCAATTAAAACAATCACCTTTTGTCTAAATCCACACCTTATTCCAAAACTCAAAATTTCTCAACATCAACCTACTTTTTTATTAGAGGTTCCCTATAGAAATACCACAAGATGTTATATTTACATTAGATTTAGGTTGTTTTAACTCGATTTCAAACCATTAAAGCAAATATATTGATGATGAAGTATTATAGATGTCTTTTCAAAGATAATTATCTCTTAACCATATCATGAAGTTAAATCTAACCTAAATTCGAAGGGGTCATGTTGTTGTTTATTTACTATGATATTATGAGACAATAGCAAACTCGTAGTGGAAATGTTGTCTGCGTCCTATCATATCTAAATATGAACATAGGAAAAAGTAAATTGATTTATGCCCCATAAAACTTTTACGTTTACGTGTAAATGATCAAAAGCTTAGAGATATATCAAATGAAATCTTCATATAAAAATGCATTCACAAAGCTATCGACATGGACCAATGGTTTTAATATAAAGTAATAGCCAAATAGCTAGCAAAGTTTTCTATCAAAAAACTTTTAAAATAAAATCAGTAGATAAAAAGTTTATATGAATACATATATAAAAACTGTACCATGGTAGATGAAGTTGAATATAGATAGAGTGCTAAAGGACCACCCAAAGTCTATGACCACTGGACAAATACTACCACTAACATTTTTATATTATGCTGATTTTCAATTTCATCAAACGTTAATCTCTTACGTGTTCACAGTATTTATTCCATTAATTTCGTTAATATGACATGGCAAACAACGAAAATAGAAAACAGAAAATTTATTTGTTGCTAACAGAAAATAATTGACAATTCTTTAGTTTTTTTGTCGTCACAAAAAATCAATATTCTATGTTTGTTATTACATGAGATATTTTTCTAGAAGAATCCATAAGTCTAAAAATGGTTAAGAGATAAATTATCTTTGAAAAAAATCCAGAGGGCGTAATTGACTGGGCATGTGCACTGCAACGTGACCGGACTTCAAATCTGAATTCAAACCAATTTATAATGCTTTTAAATTTAGAAAGCGACATCTGGAAGTTTTCAAAATTAATATATATTTTTCTAAAAAAAAATAAAACAAAAAACCAGAAAAAGCTATTTAAAATAAAAAATAAAATAAAAAGGCAAGGGATCCGTGATTCCAAAGGATTCGCTCTCACCACGCGCCTCAGTATCCGTCACATCTCACGCGTTCCTTCTTTCTCTCTCTATCTCTCTCTTCTCTCTCCCCTACTATATAATCTCGTGTTCCCTTCTTCCCATTCTGCACCTCTATCCCCCACTTATTTCGATTTTGCCACTGATTCAAAAAAACAAACAAACTTATTTGCTAAAAGCTATGGAGGAGGAGAAGAAGTTGTTGGCTTTAACTCGGACTGACTCAGCCGAGAAAAAGCGAGTTCGAGACGAGTTATCCGACGAAGCGGTTCTTGACTCGCCGGAGGTGAAGAGGTTGAGAGATGATTTATTCGATGTTCTCGATGACTCGGATCCTGAACCAGTGAGTCAAGATCTCGACTCGGTTATGAAAAGTTTCGAAAACGAGTTATCAACGGTCACCACCACGACGGGGCAAGGCTCTTCCGCCGGAGAAACTCAGCCTGATCTCGGTTATCTTCTCGAAGCTTCCGATGACGAGCTTGGTTTACCTCCGCCTCCATCGATTTCTCCGGTTCCCGTCGCGAAGGAGGAGGAAACGACGGAGACGTTAACGGATTTGGTACGAGCGTCGTCTGATTCGTCAGGAATCGACGAGATTTGGGGATTTGAAGATCACGTGACGAATTACGGTGGTTTAGATTTTGGTTCCGGCGTCGGTGACGGTGGAGATTACGTGGCTGTTGAGGGGTTGTTTGAATTTTCCGACGATTGTTTTGATTCCGGCGATCTGTTTTCGTGGCGGTCGGAGTCGTTACCGGCGGAATAAAAATAACAAACTTTTTTTTTAATTAGGTGGGAAATGAAAACGATACCGTTTTGTAAAGCGTTTGGCTCTCCCTGGCGTTTTTTTTTTTAACCCTATCAGTTTGTGGTAGATGGTTAATATATCTATTAAGTAAAATTATCAGGATTTAGGAAAAGTTAAATATTTTGTTAGTTGGTGTAATTTGCTAGATTAGTGTAAGCAAATTCGTTTGTTTATTCTTCTTCCCAGATCTCTTTTTTTTGCATAGCTTTTGTTAATGTGAAACGGCAAGTCTGATTTCAATTTGTTTGTTTGTTTGTTCTCTGTCAAATTTTAATTTTTATGTTCAAGTCATATAAAAACGACAAGTCTGATTTCAATTTCAGACGTAGGCCTGGCCCATGAGGCATGTGTTATAGCCCAAAACCAACAACAACTACAAATTATGTTTTGATACTGATTCCGGATGTTTCACATAACCAATGTTTTCGAAATCAAATCATACGTGGAATTGGTTGAACTAATGGAGTTGGTCTAACCGATTATGCCAGATTTAAGGATTGGTCAAGTTAACTGTTTAATCTGGTTTTTTACTTAGTTCGGTATTTAGGTTCTACATTAGTTGTTCAAAGTTGCCCTTTTTTTAGTTTGTGTGTGTACTTGTTACATTTATTTTACATTGGGTTTCATTTAGTCGACATGGAAGTAGTTATTTAGTTCAAATCTTTTGCGTTGTGTACCGAAACTATCACTTATGAGTTATGAGAAACTTGAGCCTTTCAACTTGGTATCTGTGGGTAATTCCGTGGCTCCACAAACAATGAAATGTTACGACGACTGCATATGGAACTGAAAGGTCCCTTCCCCAAAAAGATGCTTCGCAAGGGAGCATTTATGATCAGGACTTATGCTTCTATGCTACAGAGGAGGATAGTGTTACTGGAAAGACAATAAAGAGTTACTTATGCAGTTATGCTTCTATGCTACGAATGATGGCAAACATAAAGCCAAAAGATTTTTGTTCAGTAATTAAACGACGTTATAAGGATGAAGATGGCAAGATGTTAGTTCATTTTAGAGATCTTCTGGAGAAAATATTCATAAGAGACTTACACAGAGACTTACAGTGTTACAGGCATTAGCTCACCCATTCATCACGGCCAAGTGAACCTCATAATGTTGTTACCCTAGATACATGTACATTGTATATTACACAATTTAATTTTTGATTAAGATTCTAAAGAAAGTGTTAATGATGTTGTTCTCAGATTCATGTGATTCAGTCTTGATATTTGAGGGGTCGTTTTTCTTTTTAGAAATATGGAAAAATGATCCAAGTTGTTGACCATTGTTTGGTTGGTGGATTCACATTATATCATTTTCATGTAATTAGAAAAGATTAGGTAGCATTAGAAGTGTGTTATCTATAATTACAAAATATTTATATAATGTGATTGGTTCACGTGAGATGAGTGGGAGAATTATGTCTAGAAGAAAGATTGCCTTTGTAAATAAACAGGTCTTTCAAAAAATTTCGTACCTAACAGAAGTAAAAGTCTCTCTTTATCATAATAACAAGATTATGGTTACTATGTTTTTGACGTGGAAAGTTGCGTGCAGATGAGTTGTGTAGTAGTCTTATTGATCATGAAATTGAAGTCACACCTAATAAAGAGGAAATGGTGTGTTTTCTAATGGCTAATCCAAAGTTTTAATCATTCCTCTAAACCTGTCATGCTTAAATTAATTGCATTATTAAGACTTAAGAGCCGTGACAATGACATTTCTCGTATGTCTATTTCACGACTTTGGTTATGAGTGTTTCGTTTGTAGTTTCTATGTAGTTTTTCTGTTGTAATGTTGTTTTATTAATTTCTAGAAATTAGTACAGCACGAACGTTCCTCGTCATGAGACAATAATTATGGGTCCATCGTTCACATCATACCAAATTTAAAGATTGCAATTTATACGGTAAACCTGAATCTTTCATGCATTTTCATGGTTTAGGAAATAGGATGGACATAAAGAAAAGGAATTCAAAAATAATAAACAGTAGTAATATATATCTAAGATTTTCAAATTCTCTTTACATAGATATTAAAACAAAATCTCCGAAACATTTTTAAGGGTTACACATTTTGATTAATCAATTACCAAATCCTCCTTTTTTCAACAACGATTTAAATTTGGTTTACCATTTGGTCTTTTGATTAAATCATTCCTATCGCGAAATATTCAATAGCGGTCCATTTTGTTTTTATTATTTCGAAACTCGAACCACATTTTCTTCCTAATGGTCGTTTTTTCCAACTCTGGAAAACTTCGTTGCTAAGAAGTCTTCGTATGTCGTAACGCGTCTTCTCTTATTTCCTTTCTTATAACTCTTCCATTCAAAGGAAGACAACGTAAACCCTTATTCAGTCTCTTCTCTCTCCTCCTCTGCAACTTCGGCCATGGGAAAGAAGCTTGACGCTTTACTTGGTCGGAGTTTCAAGACCAACAAGTTCAAGTCTCTTATCAACTTAGCTCTCACAAGGCTCTCCATCCTCAAGAACCAGCGTCAAGCCAGACTCTCTCAAGCCATCTCTGACGTCACCGAGCTTCTTAAGCTCGGCCATCATGAGAACGCTTACCATAGAGTCGACCAAGTCGTCAAAGACCAAAACACCCTCGACGTTCTCTTCTTCATCCATGGCTACTTCACTCTCTGTCTCGACCGTATTCACCTCTTTGAACACAGCAGAGATTGTCCTGACGAACTTCTAGAAGCTGTTTCGGGCTTGCTCTTTGCAGCTTCTAGAATCGGTGAATTCCCTGAGCTTCAAGAGATTCGTAATGTTTTGATTTCGCGTTTTGGTAAAGATATCGCGGCTCGGTCTATTGAGTTGCGCAGTAATTGTGGGGTTGATCCCAAAGTAAGCATACTATATTCAATACGTTATATTATATATCTCTCTCTTAATAAAACAAGATACTTACTGAGTTCCATGTTTCTTTTGGTGTTACTATAGATAATTCAGAAGTTATCGACAAGACATCCACCGAGAGAAGTTAGAATGAAGGCTTTGAAGGAGATTGCTGCAGAGAACAACATTGTTCTGAAACTAGAAGACGCTTCTACATCCACTGAAGTATGGAAATCTGCAATTAACCACAAGATAACAAAAAGTTAAAAAAATCATGTTCTAATCAAATTTATGATATTTGCAGGGAACAACAAATATCCAAGGAACATCAGATGTTAGTAAGGCTAAGCTAACAAGTGAAGATGAGAGAGGAGAAGGTTATGGTTTATCTGATTCGGTCAAGAGAGGAAAGAAGAAGTACAAAGATGTGGCTGATGCTGCACAAGCAGCGTTTAAGTCAGCAGCTCACGCAGCAGAGGCTGCACGAGCGGCTGTGGAGCTTTCTCAGTTTTCTCCTCGTGGACATGACAGTCCGGGTAACATTGGTGGGGGAAATTCATTTCATGGTTCAGAAAATAAAGAATCAGAACAAGAACAAGGAGGTAATGATGATTCTTCAGAAGAGGAAGGGGATGTGAGGTCAGAATCTAAGAGGTCGATGTCGGATTCAGAAGATATTATTGATGATCTCCCAGTGATGTCATTCAGAGAAGACCCTGTGAAGCTATTGGAGAAGGATACTGTTATCTACGATAGTGAAGAAGAAACCCAATCTAGTGTTGAGACTAATACTATTCCTAAGTCTAAAGATGAGCAAAGTCTTATGGTTGGTTCGAATAGAGTGGATACAAGACATGTGGACCACATGGTTCATTCAATTGAAGATCCTATTATGCGTAAAGCAGGTTTGAAGGGTCCGGTTTCAGTCAGGACCAGACAGGTTCGTGGCTACTAAGTACAAATATTATAATTTTTTCAGGTGCATCTATGGTTTTTTTTTCCACTTGAGTTTTGTACTTTTCTATGTTCTTTTTTTTGGCCAAGGGTGCAAGATTATTGTGTTCTTTATGTATATAAGCTTTCAATGATGTTGAACAGTTGCATATGTGTGTCTTTTATTCAAGAAAAAGTTTCTAGAAACTTTAAATCAGTTTCGAAGAAATTACCTGGAAATTACTGTCCTCTAGGCCTCTTTTTACCATGTTGAATTAGGTCAGCATATGCCTGGAAATTTAGATCGACATCTTCATCATATTCAATTCCAAGCTCCTCCTGCAAAGTAACAGTAATCAAACATTACAGCGAAGCTGAAGTAGTCTGTGTAAGAAAAAAACTTGTGAAGATATATGAGTTTGCACCTTTAGTTCCTTCACATCTTTGGGAGAATTCTCTGTTACAGTATCCCAAATGTCTCTGAACATCCTCTTCCGCTTGCGCCACTGATTTATCTTATCCGAGTACATATCTTCAACAGCCTTTTTGTCTTCTGGCCTAACCAATGTAATCCCTTCGCGTAGTTTGATCAGTTTCTCTTCCATTTCCTTTACCTGGTACACAGTTGAAATCACTTTTTAAGCTATCTACAATCTCACTCAAGGAAAGACAAAAACCAAAAGGTAAGAACATATACCTCCTTTCTTAGTTTGGCATCTTTCTCTTGTATCTCTTCTAGTGTCAAGTTTGACTGCAAGCTCTTGATTTCTGCAAACAACACATCACAGAACATAACATTATCCAAGCAGCTATATCACATCCTCAAAAACGACTTAACAAAAGTAAGTTTTTCACACCTGACTCCACATCACTGATTGTTTTCTTCTTCTCTTGGAGTTGTTCTTGAAGTTTGGCGTTTTCTTCTTTCATTTGAGCAAGTTCTTCACTGTTTGGAATCTCAAACTGGTCTTGTCTAGCAATGTAGATCTTCTGCTTACCATACTCTTTGAACGTGATTTTTCCAGCATCAGCAAGACTATCAAGTGCCTTTTGAACTGCAGTCTTCTTAAGGTTAAACTTTTGCAGAGCATCAGCTGCATTTTGAGTGTTTAGAGGTTTGTTTTGCTGCATCAAAAATGTAACAACAACAACACATTCATCAAAATCTAACAAAAATAACACAACAGATTCAAAAAAAACTTGCAATATATTGACACCAGTTGATTTCAATAGCTTCAAACGAAAAATTCAAGTGTAAGCTAAAGCAAAATTGACCTCCAAAGTGGTTAAATTCCCAGATTCAGAATCATGTGAACATCACTGCGTACCTTAACCTAGCCTCGATTTCAATTTCGAATTTCAAATTTATGCAAAAATGGAGAATCGCAGAGAAGTGCTTACCTCATTTACAAAGTTGAGTACGATAGCTGCAGAAACAAGTAAATAAGAGAGAAATCAAAATGAAGACGAAGAAAAAAAAAAACAGATCGGGTAACAATAATCGAAGAAGAACAGAGAGAACTTGAAGAATTTTTTGCAGAGATTATACCTTCTGTGTTATCCGATTTAGGAGCCATTTTTAACGAAATAATGCGCGGGAAAGAAAAAACCTTGAGCAAGAGCAAACTTTTTTTTCTTTTTCCGATATGTTCTGAGGAAGAAGAAGAGAGAAGCTTCCTTTATACGAGAGAGAAATTAAAACGGCGCCGTATTGTTGGATATATGGGCCTTTATTGTATTATACTAAAGCCCATTTAGTTCCTATCTTTGATAGGCCCAATTCTATGGACACAGCTTGAAGATGGCTGCTACGAAATGACGAGCTCTGTCTGGTCTCATTTCTCGTTCTTCTGATTGATATCGATCGCTCGGAACTGGGAAAGCAGCGTAATCGGTAAAATCTCGATCATTTCTTCAATTGAGAAACATTTTCCATATTTTTATGAGAATCTCAAATCGAATTATTTGTTTAGATCTTCTCTTTTATTAGTCTATGAATGGTAAAGTAGTTCTCTCTAGATTGGGACGGCACAAAGTTTCATTTCTTCATTCTAATCATTTTTTTTAGGCTAATGGGTTACCTTTGAATTATCTCAGAGACAGAATTGAGTTTAAAGTTTGTAACTTTATCGTCTTTTGTATTGATGGTGTTTATGTATGCATTGTGTTTTATTCTGACTGTGTACCTTGTGTTTGATATAGGATTAGTTGTAGGTAGGGAGTGATTTGAGTTTTGGTCAGGATGTCTATGGTTGATGAGCCTTTATACCCGATTGCTGTGCTTATCGACGAGCTAAAAAACGATGATATTCAGCTTAGATTGAACTCTATTAGACGGCTTTCTATCATTGCTCGTGCTCTTGGAGAGGAAAGGACTAGAAAAGAGTTGATTCCATTTCTTAGTGAGAACAATGACGATGATGATGAGGTGCTTTTGGCGATGGCGGAAGAGTTGGGGGTTTTTATTCCTTATGTAGGAGGGGTTGAGTATGCATTTGTTTTGCTTCCACCTTTGGAGACTCTCTCAACCGTTGAGGAAACTTGTGTGAGGGAAAAAGCTGTGGATTCGCTTTGTAGAATTGGTGCTCAGATGAGGGAGAATGACTTGGTTGAGCATTTCGCACCTCTGGCTAAGGTTAGATAAGGCTGGTTTACTCATGTTATCAAATCTCTTTGGTTGATTTAATTGATTCTTTACTATGCTCTGTCTAACTTATTCTGACTTGTGAAATTAAGCCACTAAAATCAGAAGAACATAGATTTTTTGGGGTTCTTTGTCAATTGTCCCCCAATGTTTGGAAATATGCTTTTCTTGTTCAGTGTTCCCCTTTTAGTTGTTTTAGGAAATTGATAGGTTGAAGTTGTTTACATCCATTTTGGTTGATCTAAGAGAACATCCAGCAGATATTTCTGGCTTTAGCGCTCTTTTGGGTTGTGGTTGTGTACGTGACCATAAGTCGGTATAGGAACCAAATATGATTGCGTTGCTCGTAATGTGTAACCGACTTGCATTACTGAACACTGTCATTGTTTAACAGCGACTTTCAGCTGGTGAATGGTTCACAGCCAGAGTATCAGCATGTGGGATTTTCCATATTGCATACCCAAGTGCCCCAGATCCGCTAAAGACGGAGCTAAGATCAATATATGGTCAGCTTTGTCAAGATGACATGCCAATGGTGCGCAGAGCTGCAGCAACCAATTTGGGCAAGTTTGCTGCTACCATTGAATCAGCTCATTTGAAGACAGACATTATGTCCATGTTTGAGGATCTTACGCAAGATGGTATGCTTTCCGTTATTATATGGTTCCGCTTTCCAGCATATACTCTTTCAAATTTCATCAAGCCTATATATTGGGGGGACTGATGTTAATAATAGGCAAGTATTAGGGTTACTGCATTGAACACTGACCATTAGCTGAAGTTAAGCAGCATTTCTTTTTTCTACATCTCAGCTTCAGTGTCTTACTTATTATAATGATATTATAGCTTTTAAGAATCTTATTGCCATTGATGTCAGATCAAGATTCGGTTAGATTATTGGCGGTTGAGGGTTGTGCTGCTCTTGGGAAATTGTTGGAGCCCCAGGACTGTGTCGCACACATTCTTCCTGTGATTGTGACTTTCTCGCAGGTGAATAAATGTGTGAATATGATAGGATTTTCTACTGATGAGCTCTATGAGAAAGCTGTAAGGCAGATATGTAGAAGCTGCTTTATCTTGATTTTTTCGGCTTTGAGCAGGATAAGTCCTGGCGTGTGCGTTATATGGTTGCAAATCAGCTCTATGAACTTTGTGAAGCTGTAGGACCGGAGCCAACTAGGTAAGCAGTGATGGTTGAAGTTAGTACTGGTTTAATGTATTATTGACCTTTAGTTTGCAATTCTATATCAAACAATAGATGACTGGTTTGTTGAGTCATCTTGATAAATTTCTTTGATTCTTTCTCATGTGCCTTATGTATCAAGGACGGATCTGGTGCCTGCATATGCTCGTCTACTTCGTGATAATGAGGCTGAAGTTCGGATTGCAGCTGCTGGAAAAGTTACCAAGTTTTGTCGCATTTTAAACCCTGAACTCGCTATACAGCACATTCTTCCCTGTGTAAAGGTACACACTTAAGAGGAGTGTGTTGATTTCATAATATACTGTCGGTGTTTGCTTATTACTAATAGCTTACCTTTAACTCTACACGTAGGAATTATCATCAGACTCTTCTCAGCACGTCAGATCTGCATTGGCATCAGTTATAATGGGAATGGCTCCAGTCTTGGGTAAGGTAAGCAGAATTAAAAACCGAGACAATATGCCTCTTATATCATGAATACTCTCATCTATACAAAAATTCATTTGGCTCTATAGTTTGGAGTGTACGCTCATAATATTTTATGAAGATTTAGCATCTTAGAGACAAACATTCTTTCTTTTATTTGAAACCATCTATATATCTTCTTCTTCCTAGTCACTGTCATCTACTCATCTCTAGGAATTTGTGTAACTGTGCCTGGAAGATTCTCGCAATCATAATCTATCCAAGAAAACCTAACTTTTTTTTCTACATTAGATATGTTGGTTGGATTTTACAGCTTTTAACTTGGCATTGAAATTCATTTCAGGATGCAACAATTGAGCATCTTCTTCCAATCTTTCTTTCTCTATTGAAAGACGAATTTCCTGATGTACGCTTAAACATTATCAGCAAACTTGACCAAGTGAACCAGGTTTGCTATTGACCAAGCTACTTATCTCTTTCTACAACATTGAGTTTCTATTTTTTCTCCACCTGTTCAAAGGAGGTGTATCACAGCAACATCTTTGTCCATTCATTTTTCAGATAATGATGCGATTTTTTTCTCTTAAAATTGCCAGGTTATTGGGATTGATCTGCTATCACAATCATTACTACCAGCCATTGTAGAACTTGCTGAAGACAGGCACTGGAGAGTACGTCTGGCTATAATAGAGTATATTCCCTTGTTGGCCAGTCAATTAGGTGTAGGCTTCTTTGATGATAAGCTTGGTGCTCTTTGCATGCAATGGTTACAAGACAAGGTCCCTCATTCTCTACCTTAATTGAATCATCAGATAAACAATTCTGTCTTTTCTACTGCTTGAAATTTTGAAAATCTGCAAATTATCAGGTTCACTCAATCCGTGAAGCTGCTGCAAACAATCTTAAGCGTCTTGCTGAAGAGTTTGGTCCTGAATGGGCAATGCAACATATAGTTCCTCAGGTTTGTCTAGAAATCTTAAGCATATGGTATATTTTTTTATTCAAATCGATCATTTTTTTGCTATTGGTTATAGAAGTATATTTACTTGTGCAGGTTCTAGAGATGATTAACAACCCCCACTATCTATATCGGATGACAATTCTTCGTGCAGTATCGCTTCTCGCTCCAGTAATGGGATCCGAGATCACATGTTCCAAACTCTTGCCTGCGGTAATAACTGCATCTAAAGACAGGCACGCTCTCTGTCTCTCTTAAAACATAAAATCTCACTGATTTAATTCTTTACTCCCAATAGCTAAGTAAAAAACCACTTTCTCCTCCTCTTTCAGAGTTCCAAACATCAAATTTAATGTGGCCAAAATGATGCAATCTCTCATTCCGATAGTCGACCAAGCGGTTAGTATACATTCTTTGTTGGTTCTTACAAGTAAAGAAACAGCTTATGATTCTAAACGTCCATATATTCAAATGTGTAACTTTTTTGGTTGTGAAAGGTTGTGGAGAACATGATACGGCCATGCTTGGTGGAGCTAAGTGAAGACCCAGACGTTGATGTTCGGTTTTTTCGCAAATCAAGCTCTCCAATCTATTGACAATGTGATGATGTCTAGCTAAAAAGAAACACGTTGTGTTTGGTTTTCATGAGATTTTGTAAACGATACTTTCTTGTGTGTTGTCTTTTACTTTACACGTAAGTGGCCGTATGGAGTTTGTCCATTGTTTCTCTCTGCTACTCATTTGGCCTCATGTTTTCTGTGATTTTGTGGGCGTTTTTGCGTTTTGGTCCTAAATTTTGTTTAGTCCAGACTCCAGATAATTAATTAATTAACTTATCAAGTGATTCGGCAACGTTTTTTTCTCAAAAGCATGAGTTAAATAATTGGTATTTATCGCTAACAGTTTGGAGTATTTTAATTGGTCAACCAAACTTATTTAGTCGGTTCAAGCCCATGGGCTTTTATACTCCAGATTGAGCTCGTTGTTGTCTTTTTAACTCGAAGACTATTTCATCAAAAGTCAAAACCTTGTCATATAAGGCACTTACAGAGGAATTGTTGACCTAGGAGTCGACCAAGTCGTCAAAGATCAAAACACCCTGGACGTTCTCTTCTTCATCCATGGCTACTTCACTCTCTGTCTCGATCGTATTCACCTCTTTGAACACAGCAGAGATTGTCCTGAAGAGCTACTAGAAGCTGTTTCGGGCTTGCTCTTTGCAGCTTCAAGAATCGGTGAATTCCCTGAGCTAGCTTCAAGAGATTCGTAATGTTTTGATTTTGCGTTTTGGCAAAGATCTCGCTGCTCGGTCTATTGAGTTGCGCAGTAATTGTGGGGTTGATCCCAAAGTAAGCAAGTTTGATTCAGCCCATACTATATTCAATACGTTATATTATACATCCCTCCTAATAAAACGAGATACTTAGTGAGTTTTATGTTTCTTTTGGTGTTACTATAGATAATTCAGAAGTTGTCGACAAGACATCCACCGAAAGAAGTTAGAATGAAAGCGTTGAAGGAGATTGCTGCAGAGAATAACATTGTTCTGAAACTAGAAGAAGCTTCTACGTCCACTGAGGTATGGAAATCTGCAATTAACCACAAAGATAACAAAAAGTTAATAAAAAATCATGTTCTAACCAAATTTGTGATATATGCAGGGAACATCAGATGTTAGTAAGGCTAAGCCAACAAGTGAAGATGAGAGAGGAGAAGGTTGTGGTTTATCTGATTCGGTCAAGAGAGGAAAGAAGAAGTACAAAGATGTGGCTGATGCTGCACAAGCAGCGTCTTGTCTAGCAATGTAGATCTTCTGCTTACCATACTCTTTGAACGTGATTTTTCCAGCATCAGCAAGACTATCAAGTGCCTTTTGTACTGCAGTCTTCTTAAGGTTAAACTTTTGCAAAGCATCAGCTGCATTTTGCGTGTTAAGAGGTTTGTTTTGCTGCATCAAAAATGTAACAACAACAACACATTCATCAAAATCTAACAAAAATAACACAACAGTTGTTTTCAATAGCAATATATTGACACCAGTTGATTTCAATAGCTTCAAACGAAACATTCAAGTGTAAGCTAAAGCAAAATTGACCTCCAAAGTGGTTAAATTCCCAGATTCAGAATCATGTGAACATCACTGCGTACCTTAACCTAGCCTCGATTTCAATTTCGAATTTCAAATTTATGCAAAAATGGAGAATCGCAGAGAAGTGCTTACCTCATTTACAAAGTTGAGTACGATAGCTGCAGAAACAAGTAAATAAGAGAGAAATCAAAATGAGGACGAAGAAAAAGAAAAAAAAAAACAGATCGGGTAACAATAATCGAAGAAGAACAAAGAGAACTTGAAGAAATTTTTTCAGAGATTATACCTTCTGTGTTATCCGATTTCGGAGCCATTTTTGTCGAAATAATGCGCGGGAAAGAAAAAACCTTGAGCAAGAGCAAACTTTTTCCTTTTTCCTTTTTCCTTTTTCCGATACCTTCTGAGGAAGAAGAAGAGAGTATCACTGAGAAGCTTCCTTTATACGAGTGAGAGATATTCAAACGGCTCCGTATTATTAGATATATGGGCCTTTTGTATTATACTAAAGCCCATTAAGTTCTTATCTTTGACAGGCCCAATTCTACGGACAGCTTGAAGATGGTTTGCGAAAGACGAGCTCTGGTCTGGTCTCATTTCGTTCTTCTGATTGACAGAGATCGCTCAGAACTGGGAAAGCAGCGTAATCGGTAAAATCTCGATCATTTCTTCAATTGAGAAACATTTTCTATGTTTATATGAGAATTACAAATCGAATTATTTGTTTAGATCTTTCTCTTTTTATTAGTCTATGAATGGTAAAGTAGTTTCTCTCTAGATTGGGACGGCACAAAGTTTCATTTCTTCATATTAATCATTTTTTAGGCTAATGGGTAACCTTTGAATTATCTCTGGGGAAGAATTGAGTTTAAAGTTTGTAACTTTATCGTCTTTTGTATTGTGTTTGATATAGGATTATTTGAAGGTAGGGAGTGAATTGAGTTTTGGTCAAGATGTCTATGGTTGATGAGCCTTTATACCCGATTGCCGTGCTTATCGACGAGCTAAAAAACGATGATATTCAGCTTAGATTGAACTCTATTAGACGGCTTTCTATCATTGCTCGTGCTCTTGGAGAGGAGAGGACAAGGAAAGAGTTGATTCCGTTTCTTAGTGAGAACAATGACGATGATGATGAGGTGCTTTTGGCTATGGCAGAAGAGTTGGGGGTTTTTATTCCGTATGTAGGAGGGGTTGAGTATGCACATGTTTTGCTTCCACCTTTGGAGACTCTCGCGACCGTTGAGGAAACTTGCGTGAGGGAAAAAGCTGTAGATTCACTTTGCAGAATTGGTGCTCAGATGAGGGAGAATGATTTGGTTGAGCATTTCACTCCTCTGGCTAAGGTTAGATAAGGCTGGTTTACTCATGTTATCAAATCTCTTTGGTCGATTTAATTGATTCCTTTCTATGCTCTGTCTAACTTAATCTGACGTTGTGAAATTAATCCACTAAAATCAGAAGAACATAGATTTTTTGGGGTCCTTTTTTCAATTGTCCCCCAGAGTTTGGAAATATGCTTTTCTTGTTCAGTGTTCCCCTCTTAGTTGTTATAGGAAATTGGTAGGTTGAAGTTGTTCACATCCATTTTGGTTGATCTAAGAGAACATCCAGCAGATATTTCTGGCGTTAGCGCTTTTTTGGGTTGTGGTTGGTTGTGTATGTGACCATATGTCGGTATAGGAACCAAAAATGATTACTTTGCTTGTAATGTGCAACCGACTTAAGCATTGCTGAACACTGTCATTGTTTAACAGCGACTTTCAGCTGGTGAATGGTTCACAGCCAGAGTATCAGCATGTGGGATTTTCCATATTGCATACCCAAGTGCCCCAGATCCGCTAAAGACGGAGCTAAGATCAATATATGGTCAGCTTTGTCAAGATGACATGCCAATGGTGCGCAGAGCTGCAGCAACCAATTTGGGCAAGTTTGCTGCTACCATTGAATCAGCTCATTTGAAGACAGACATTATGTCCATGTTTGAGGATCTTACGCAAGATGGTATGCTTTCCGTTATTATATGGTTCCGTTTTTCCAGCATATACTCTTACAAATTTCATCAAGCCTATATATGTTGGGGGGACTGATGTGAATACTAGGCAAGTATTAGGATTACTGCATTGAACACTGACTGTTAGCTGAAGTTAAGCAGCATTTCTTTTTTCTACATCTCAGCTTCAGTGTCTTACTTATTATCATGATATTATAGCTTTTAAGAATCTTATTACCATTGGTGTCAGATCAAGATTCGGTTAGATTATTGGCTGTTGAGGGTTGTGCTGCTCTTGGGAAATTGTTGGAGCCCCAGGACTGTGTCGCACACATTCTTCCTGTGATTGTGACTTTCTCGCAGGTGAATAAATGTGTGAATATGATAGGATTTTCTACTGATGCGCTCTATGAGACAGCTGGAAGGCAGATATGTATAAGCTACTTTATCTTGATTTTTTCGTCTTTGAGCAGGATAAGTCCTGGCGTGTGCGTTATATGGTTGCAAATCAGCTCTATGAACTTTGTGAAGCTGTAGGACCGGAGCCGACTAGGTAAGCAGTGATGGTTGAAGTTAGTACTGGTTTAATGTATTATTGACCTTTAGTTTACAATTCTATATCAAACAATAGATTACTGGCTTCAGAGGTATTTGGTACTTGGAAGTCCATGTTTGTTGAGTCATCTTGATAAATTTCTTTGATTCTTTCTCATGTGCCTTATGTATCAAGGACGGATCTGGTGCCTGCATATGCTCGTCTACTTCGTGATAATGAGGCTGAAGTTCGGATAGCAGCTGCTGGAAAAGTTACCAAGTTTTGTCGCATTTTAAACCCTGAACTCGCTATCCAGCACATTCTTCCCTGTGTAAAGGTACACACTTAAGAGGAGTGTGTTGATTTCATATTATGCAAAGGACCAATATACTGTCGGTGTTTGCTTATTACTAATAGCTTACCTTTAACTCTACACGTAGGAATTATCATCAGACTCTTCTCAGCACGTCAGATCTGCATTGGCATCAGTTATAATGGGAATGGCTCCAGTCTTGGGTAAGGTAAGCAGAATTAAAAACCGATACAATTTGCCTCTCATATCATGAATACTGTCTTCTATACAAAAATTCATTTGGCTCTATAGTTTTTAGTGTAAGCTCATAATATTTTATGAAGATTTAGCATCTTAGAGATAAACATTCTTTCGTTTATTTGAAACCATCTATATATCTTCTTCTTCCTAGTCACTGTCATCTCTAGGAATTTGTGTAACTGTGCCTGGAAGATTCTCGCAATTATAATCTATCCAAGAAAACCTAACTATTTTTTTCTACATTAGATATTTTGGTTGGATATTGCAGCTTTTAACTTGGCATTGATATTCATTTCAGGATGCAACAATTGAGCATCTTCTTCCAATCTTTCTTTCTCTATTGAAAGACGAATTTCCTGATGTACGCTTAAACATTATCAGCAAACTTGACCAAGTGAACCAGGTTTGCTATTGACCAAGCTACTTATCTCTTTGTACAACATTGAGTTTCTATTTTTTCTCCACCTGTTCAAAGGAGGTGTATCACAGCAACATCTTTGTCCATTCATTTTTCAGATAATGATGCGATTTTTTTTTCTTAAAATTACCAGGTTATTGGTATTGATCTACTATCACAATCATTACTACCAGCCATTGTAGAACTTGCTGAAGACAGGCACTGGAGAGTACGTCTGGCTATAATAGAGTATATTCCCTTGTTGGCCAGTCAATTAGGTGTAGGCTTCTTTGATGATAAGCTTGGTGCTCTTTGCATGCAATGGTTACAAGACAAGGTCCCTCATTCTCTACCTTAATTGAATCATCAGATAAATAAATCTGTCTTTTCTACTGCTTGAAATTTTGAAAATTTGCAAATTGTCAGGTTCACTCAATCCGTGAAGCTGCTGCAAACAATCTTAAGCGTCTTGCTGAAGAGTTTGGTCCTGAATGGGCAATGCAGCATATAGTTCCTCAGGTTTGTCTAAAATCTTAAGCGTATGGTATTTTTTAATTCAAATCCATCATTTTTTTGCTATTGGTTATAGAAGTATATGTACTTGTGCAGGTTCTAGAGATGATTAACAACCCACACTATCTCTATCGAATGACGATTCTTCGTGCAGTATCGCTTCTCGCTCCAGTAATGGGATCCGAGATCACATGTTCCAAACTCTTGCCTGCGGTAATAACTGCATCTAAAGACAGGCAAGTCCCTCTCTCTCTTAAAACATAAAATCTCATTGACTCAAGTCATTACTCCCAACGGCTAACCAAAAACCACTCTCTCCTCCCCTTATCAGAGTTCCAAACATCAAATTTAACGTGGCCAAAATGATGCAATCTCTTATTCCGATAGTCGACCAAGCGGTTAGTATGCATTCTTTTTTGGTTCTCACAAGTAAAGAAACAGCTTATGATTCTACATTGTCCTCTTTAGGGAATCTAAACGTCCATATATTCAAATGTTTTCCCTTTTTTTTGGTTATGGAAGGTTGTGGAGAACATGATACGGCCATGCCTAGTGGAGCTAAGTGAAGACCCAGACGTTGATGTTCGTTTCTTCGCAAATCAAGCTCTCCAATCTATTGACAATATGATGATGTCTAGCTAAAAAAAGATGAAAAATAGAAACACTCGTGTTTGGTTTTCATGAGGTTTTTGTAAACGATACTTTCTTGTGTGTTGTCTTTTACTTTCCACGTAAGTGACCGTATTGAGTTTGTCCATTGTTTCTCTGTTACTAATGTTAATGTTGGCTTCATGTTTTCTTGTGATTTGTGGGTGTTTTTTCTTTTTGTTTAGTTTAAATATATCCATTGTAGATGAGAATCAATTGAAATTTAGGTAACTAGATAATTGAGAATTTATGATGACGATGTACAGGTGCATAAAGGAAATTTAGAAATTGTTACGTAAATTTTCAATAGTCCAAATAATTTAGGCAACGTATTTTTTCACAAAAGCATGAGGTAAATAACTAACTAATTGGTAATTATCGCTAACACTTCGGAATATTTTTAATTGGTCAACTAATTAATTGGTATTTATCGCTAACACTTATTGAGTCGTCTGGTTTCAAGCCCATTGGGCTTTTATACTCCACACATATCAGCTCGTTGTCTTTAAATAGAAGACTATTTCATCAAAAGTCAAAACCTTGCCGTAGAAGGTACTTACAGAGGAATTGTTGACCTAGGAAGCGACCGAAACTTCCCTCGAAAAGTTCAATAGATAATATGCTGATCAAAGGTATTATTGACGATTTCTGTTCGATTATTTACAAATTTTGTTGATGATTTTTCACCACTCTTGTACACTTCGCTCGCTATTTCAAACCTCTACGAAATTTCCTTAAATATTTCTATTTGATCTCCACAGTTTTTGACTCGCAATAGGCTTAGGAAACTACAGATAATATCTGAATATTTTTAAAATATATATTCCTAAAACTCACAGGAATTGCGTTTTCTGAGTTATTTAAACGACAAAACATATTTAGAGTCTTCTTCTCTTGTTGTTTCTCGGTTTTGTTTATTTATATTTTGTTCATGATTTTGGCTTAATAGTTACGTAATCAAGAGTTTGGGTGAAGAACGATGACGACGATGATGCAGTACCTAATTCCAGAACCAAAAACTAAAGAGGTAACCTTAGTTTTCCATTGATTCTGTTTGTGAATATCTATAGAACGATTCTGATTTTAGGGTTTTTGTAGAATTCTGATTTTTGAACAAGTTATTTAGTTTTGTACCCTTCTCCTATTTTTTTGTGATATTGTTTACCTTAAAACAGATTGTGTTCGAGAAAACGTTGCAATCTGCTGGTCCAGTTACTCTAGAAGAAGTTAAAGACTTAAGTGCTAAGCGTAAAGTTATCGAAGAAACAGTAAACAAAACCAGCAAAGTCACTGATGCAACTACAATAGGACTAACCTCTGCTTGTGAACAGGTAAATTATAAAACTCTTCAAGTTCTAAACCAATTATGTCTAAGTCTAACCTTAAACTTTTGATTGTTGCTTAGATATTATTGTTTTTGATTTTTCAGGATCTTCATAGACTTAGACAATACCTTCCGTTACTCTTTAACTTGGTTCATTACACCGATAAGATAAAGCGGGTTTCGAATCTTAAGATAAGATGGAGTAGTGGATTGATCTCTCAGACCTTGATTCAGCGTACATGTCCGAAATTCTTCCAAGTCGATAACATAATGTTCGAGCTTGGGATGGTTCGTTTCGTTTACGCAGTTAAACTCCGTGAGAGAGCAATGGAACTAGTATCCACAGGTTAGTCTTTTTCTTGTAGTTGTTGCTTCTATATATTTTTGCTTTCATTAACTCATAATCTTCTTGCTACTGATTGCAACAGATTTTAAGAACTCGGTAACAGTTTACCGAGAAGCATCTGGAGTTTTCCATCATCTCTCTCATGAGCTTCTTCCTTCATTACAACTTTGTCTGCCTCCAGGGAAGCTTCCGGAACTAACTTCTCCGCTTTGCTCTTGTTTGAGTCTCCTCTGTTTAGCTGAAGGTCAGGTTAGTGACTTTTACCTTAAATTTGCACAAGAGCTCTTCATTTACCACTCTTGGTGTGGCTTCTTGCCTCAAATTCATATTTGTTTGATGCTAGTATTGAGATATTTTTGTAATAGGCTGTGACTACAGAGAACGCAGAAGAAAGCGGCAGAAGTGCAAGCCTGTTGTCGAAACTGCATTTCGGAATTTCTCAACTTCTTTCTGAAGCCTATTCTCTTTTGTCATCTAGACCAAACGGAGAATATAAAGACCTATCGACCCGCTTTCTCGTAAGTCGCATATCTCTAAAATTTAACTATACGTGAAGAACAAGTTACTCTTATGCCATAATCCTCTAGTTGGTATCTAAAAACTGTTCTTAGTTCACTCATACGCCTTAATCCTCTGTTTCTTGAATGTATAACGACAATTTGCTTGTATAAGCTTAGATGAAGTAAAACATCTATACTTGATTGATTGATCATGTGATAATGTAGGAGTATGTAACAACAATGGGAGCTTTACACGAGCTAAAGAGCCAAAAACACTTAGCGGAAGTGCTGGAATCCGAAGATCGAGTAGGCGAAGCGGTTGGGGTTCTCAGACGTGCCTTAGCAGCGGCGAAGAAGAGTACGCCGTCGAAAGATGACAAGTGGATATCAATATTCAAGAAAGAGAGAGAGGAAGTAGCTAAAAACATGGCTAAGTATGAGGAGCTAAACGATTCTATGATGTTACAGAAGATTCCAATTGATAGAGAGATACCTTTTCCAAAAGGTGTGAAGATTGTTAATCTCATTCCTTATACTCCCAAAAGATTGGAACGAGAACTTCGATTTAAGTCTTAGAAGAAGATTCACCAACTGTGTGATAAATTTTTTGTTTGGTTCTTTTGAGTTTGGAGAAGAGATTTAAGGTGTGTGATATGTGATACGATTATTTGCCATCAGATCAAAAGTTTCTGATTGTGCAATAATATCTTAATGCATATCGTTTCATTTGACATTAGGTACTAAAGATGGGGTTAGCCCAACATCAGTTTGGCCCATTAAGCCCAAAACTTGGACAAATGCTGGAAAATCATTCTCGTTGCCTGAATTCCAAAATGGTTTTTTTTTTTTTTAACTCATCAGAAACTTGAAAGTCAGAACCAAGATAATATAGTATAATAACTTAATAAGGTTTTGATATCTTAAGGTTTCAAGGCTTCAAATAATATACAGAAACACAATTGTCTGAAACTATATACATCTATATATGTAATGGCAATGCACATCATTTATTTTATAATTATCTCATTATTTTCAAACGTATTCAAAAATTAATACATTTTCCGGTGTTCCTATCAAGTTACTAGTCAGAAAGAATCTTCCAAAGATTTCATATTATAAAGTCAAAGGATCAATTTCACAATGTCAACCATTTTGCTGAGTATTAAAACAAGATTAATTTCACAATGTCAAACATTTTGCTAAGGATTAAAACAAGATTAGCACGTACTTAAGACATGTATGTGTAGTACAGAAGGTGATAAAGGTATGGTCGTATAAATATGTGTCCTCTTCTTATTAGTTTAGTAAATAACGACTTAATTAGGTCAATTCGAATATCCCATGTATCTGATTTGTTAATGTTAGAAATAGACCAATAAAAGCATCGATTTTTTTAATGAAATATATATATATATTGCTTGCACTTTTCCCCTTGTTTTAGTCATAACTACTATTCTTTAAATAAGTATCAAGAGCCATTGTGTCCTTTAACTTGTGTGAAAGGTCACGTTAACTCATGCTTAAAGCTTAACATATCCCTAATTATTTTAAAACTTATACCTAATGAATCCTAATCCGGTTCTATCGTATCGTCAAAACACTCTGTATATTATATTTCAAAACTAATATACTTGATTAATTACATTAATTCGTTTGTTTATTCTGCACATGGAATGACTAGCCAGGTTGATCCGATCTTGAAAACGATAGATCATCTTAATTATAAAGTGCCTATGAAAAATCTGCACATATTGAAAATCTATCTCAAAATGCAACTCTATATATATATATATATAATGAAATAATAAATTGATGGAAGTAAAAAAGAATTTGCATCAAATAATATTGTTCTAATTAAAAATTCCAAAAAAATCAGTATAAGTTTTTAAGTACCACATTAACTTTCTAGTGGAGTTGACTACTACCGTAGAAATTGAAACCATCTTAAAGGCCACATAGCATGTATAGAGCCACCTGGAAAGGCGAACCTAATGGTAGGACCTGTACGGCTGATAAACAATTGATTGAAAGAATCTTTAGATTAATTCAAGATTCTGAGAGATACTGTCCAAATTTGAATATATCAAGTGACCTAACCCTATCTATATTATGAATAAAAGTCTTCGCTAAACCAGAGGCAGAGAATATACTCTACGACAAGGACATTGTAGCTAACGTGCAATTTTGTATTAATATTCAAGCAACATGAGAATCAAATTTAAATATCAAGACAATCCATATAAAATTGTTAAATTATACTTATAGTAAGTTATGCTTTTCGGATTCGAGCATATTCGTCCCATGAATGCAACCAATTCAATAACTTCTCCTGCGGGTCTTATTTTAATATAATCAAATCATTTTTGTTATATATCATTGTCATTGTGTGGAACTTTATATAATATGGTGGACAAATATTTACTATATACTATGAAGAAGATCCCTTTGCTCAACTCTGGCCGCCATGTTCATACTAGCTGTATACATTATTATACATGTGTATATATATAGAATTAGATATATCATATGCGATCTAATATCAGCATATATTCTGGATCATCTATATAATAATAATTATTAGTGCAAAAACAGCAGCCACAACAATAATTTCTATTTAGTATTTACTATGTATATACCGTTGAGATAGATGAGATCCGTTGTTTGTACATTGTGTAAATTGTAAATTGATCAATTAGTTTATATAATATCATAACCTCTCCTAACATATTTAATGTGATAAACCAAACCCTCATTTTTTTTTCCCACTTGCGTACTTTGTCAAGAATATATATGTCAACGATGTTGAAAACTGAAACGTATATAACAGCAATAAGATGAAAATTTAACCGCAAAATAAATATGAAAAACTCTATACAGACTTTAAGTAAAATATAAAGATTGGTTCGGTGCAAAAATCTATACAGACTTTAATCACGGTATCAAATTCTAATATGGAGAGAACAAAACCAAATAATTATAGTATAAAATGACCACAAAAACATTAGAAACAGTAAAAACAAATTAATTATTCTTGACGTACGTAATGATTACGAGTAGAAGAAGACATCGCCGGCGAGCTACACCGGACCACAACCCCTTCACTATGACTTCCCGATCCTTCTTCCACAATAATCGACGGCCTAAAATTGGAATGGCTTGGCCACTGTGGAGGTGGCGGTGCTGCCATGGCTCCATAGATCCCCGTGGTGGTGGTGGTACTGCTGGTTGTGGCTCCTCCGGTGGTCTTTCCCGTAGAGTAGTCCGATTGTGGTACCCATAATCCTCCGACGACTACGAAATGTTGCGTTTGAGAGTTTCCGTTGTTAGGGACTATTTGGCGTGGTCTTCTTGTATGCAGTCTAAATTTCTATTATTATATATCCCAAAAAAGGAAAATAATATTAGCATCATATATATTTGCAAAGCATAGATTTTTAAGTTAAATGGTAATTTCGAAAGAAAACATTAATTTTTTTCTCCTATATACATCAAATATAGAAAGAAAAAGATTGCATGTGTTTATTGTAGTTACCTGTAAATGGCTTTTAACTTCATCATTGGTTAATCCATCAACTTTCATTAACTCCCTGATTTGCTTTGGCGTAGCTACTGCAAAATCCATTAACCAAAATCAATATACTAACAAAAATCTCATATATATAACCTATATAACAACAACTTTATATAAATTCAAAACGCACCATGAGGTCCACCTAAGTGTTGAAGAGCGTTCAAGAAGCGTCTATGCAAATGCGACGACCAACACCTTCTTTGCTTTCTCCCTCCTCCTCCGTCTTTCTCCGCCTCTCTCTTCCGCCCCTCGCAACCTTTTACCATCGGATCCTTTCTCATACTCTCATCTCTTGTCACCGTCTCCATCGTCTCCTGCTGCGACCGTTCCTGAAACGCAAATCGCAAATATTAGAGCGTTTTGTCATTGAGATATTTTTGTGTTTGCATCCATTGTTTTTTCGGATTTAGAACATAACATGTTAAATTAAAAATGATATTAAATTTTTAATTAGAAATTAGTGTGAATTTCGATACGGATTCTTTAATAGATTACCTCTTTTGGAAGAAGATGGTCGGGTTGGTTCCACAGTTGAACAGACTTAAGCCAATCAGATTTCGTGTTCTTGTCCTCGGAGTCATTGTCCGGATCGTGATTTCCGTGCTCATCGTCGAATTCTTCATCTACTAATTCTTCATTGGAGGTCAATGAATCTTTAATGGTTAGAAACTGCTCCAAGACCGGCCCACATTCTCCGGTTGTCTGCTCCGAGCACTCTGGTTGTCCGTATACATTTTCCGTCGTCATCTCTGGCATCTCCCTTTTACATGCCTCGATGGCTGAAGAAATAAATAAAAATTATTTAAAACGTTTAACTTTTCATAGATACTAGAATTTCACACGTATAGTTTTTTTAATTGGATCACAAATCTTGCATTTCATGTAGTAAATATATGTAGATTAATACATTTCGTTATATATTTATACATAACATACCTTGAGTTACAAGGTCTAAGCAAAGAGGAAGTTCACGTTGAAATACATGAATCTTTCGACGTTCCTCTTCGAGGGCTTCGATATATTGCCCACATCTCTCCCGTTTCTGGTTGTAATCCATATTGCTGATCTTTTTAATCATGATGATGCTTTAAGCCACCTTTTTTATATTGTGAGATTTGGTTTGCTTTAGAGAGAGGGATCAAAACATAAATCTGGCTCTCATCTCTCTATATATAAGGCCTCTAGGATCAGTATTTTGATTGATTAAAAAAGCATAAGTCGGCCCGTCGCGTTACAAGACGAATCTTGCGTTTCATAATTTTATATGTTTAATTATAAAGAAACGTAACCAATTTGATTTTATGTCTTGTTGTGGCTAGCTAGTAGTAGATGGGGAGTGGTGAATATTCCGCAATGTGATTCTTTGTTCTTTGTTAGGTAATAAACTAATTATGTCAAAATACAAAGAACTGGATACTTATTAGACGACAAAAAAAAAAGGAGATGGATACTTATTGGTCTAGAATCTAATCCATTTAACATGTGTCTGGGTGAGTTATGAACTTCATTACATTAACTTTGTGTTAGATTTTTTTTTTTTTTCATCATAACTTTGTGTTAGATAAGAGACTGCATTTATTCTTTCATCTTTGCGTGGATACCTTATGTAAATGCAGACAACCTTTTACCATATATACAATCTAATGTATAAAATTTATTAAAAAAACAAAAAAAAAAAAGAGATAGACAGAGCGGGAGAGAGAGTAAAGTTATACATATTCACCGTTGAGAAAAAAATTTCTTACCGTATGCTTCATATATCCATTCTATAATGAGATTTAGGCTTTCGTTTAAGTTTTAACTGTAAATAAATGATATTAAATTTTTAGAATTTAAATAGGTAATTTATCACAAATTTAAATAGGTAATATGTATATATATATATATATATATATATATCTCTTAGTTAATTAATACACTGTACTTTGTATATTTCTCATCTTAACTTCGTTGAAGGAAAAGTGATCACTACTAAATGACGTTAAACTCAAAAGCCAAATGTCTCTTAACGAAGAAGCCAAAACGAGCTAAGGGAGAAGAAACAAAAAAAGGGCCGTATTAATAACACCTTCATTGAACCTTTTTTTCATTTTCTATCCGCTCACTTTTTTAGCCCTTTATCCATTAGGATTCAAATATTTTTTAAACAAATTTGAAATGTCACAGAATCTTGACTTTGTTGAATTAGTTCTATTCAATTATCCGTATCCGTATATAATACTATGTGTCAATATCTTTGAATTTTGGCCGGTAATATTAATTAGTTGTCTTCTTATATTGCCTAGTAAAACATGAAAAACATAACGTGTTGGACTTATTATCAAAGATCATCATCATGCATCATTCCAACTTTCCAAGATAATGGTGTGCCAATGCCTTTCACAATCAATAAATACTTTAGTATTTTTTTTAACCTGACCTAATACTTAAGTTTCTTTCTTGTCGTCCAAAATTTTGTACATTTCTACATATATAAAGTAAAGAGTGGTCGTTGTTAATAAAAAACGTTAGACGTTAATTGAAACATTGTGTTAAATCTTTGTCAAAACAAATGAAAACAGGACATTAACAACAGAAGGAGGGAGTATATATATTCAGAGGAAAAACAAAATTAATAGCTAGTTCAAATCCGAAAATATATGACTAGCTTGAAATCGAAAAACTAAGGAAATTAGATTCTCTCGGATATTTGAAACTAATCAACGGGAAAAAAAAGGTGGATAAATAGTTATTTTGAGAGGAAAGATTGATTAAGATTTTAAGAGTTTTCTGTTTCAATTCAATCCCAAATTAAAACGTCATACTTTTGGACAAGAATACCTTTTTTACATTGGTAAAAACACTTAAACGATCTCGTTTGCCGAAAAAAAAGAGAGAGAAAAAAAAGAACGACTTCTAATGAGCACCTAGTTTGCTAATTGCTAGCCTACCTAAACAAATAATTAACGCGTAAATTGTTTAAATATTTCTACCGTTTTGATAGAACAAATATTATCGTTGATGGAATGGTGGCCTCCTAATTTCTTAAACCGAGTGGTGATCACAAATATCCGTAAATTCTAATGCAGTTTGGACTATTCAATTAGTCAAATCTTAACGCAAATTGGACGGTACTTATAAATGTAGTTTTTATCCTCGTTGACATGATGCATGGATTTTTTTTTTTTTTGGATGTTAAATAAGACAGTCTGACCTATGACTTAGTACTATCTAAGAAAGGTTTCTTCTCGACCAAAAACAGAAACTAATGTGTATGCATGTTCTGGTATTTATTAAAATAATAATCCAAGATATATATAGGACACTATTTGGGTTAACAAATGGTTAAAAGAAATATAATTGATTATCGCCAATAATAATATATTTTCAATAATACAAATAATAATCTTCAATTGTAAATATTAAATACATATGAATTTATCATTTAAAAATACAGTTAACTGGTTTGACCATGTTTTAAATTGCATTTTTACTAGAAGATTAGAAAAGAAAAAAAAATCAAAACAAATCACAAAAAAATTGAGAATGATCTAGCTAGTTGTGACCTCTAATGATCTATTTTGTGATTATTGAGTCAATTTTATCTTTGATTAGATTTGAAATTTGAAATGAGTTGGCACATCGTATCTACCCCTAATTGGCTCTTAATTGTCCTTAATTGGCTTATAATTGTCCCTTCAGAGACTCGAGAGGCCATAGTCACAAATATATCAAAGGCTCACATCAAAACCATATGCGAACACATCAATAAAATGACACCGCTTTACACCAATGCCGGAATTTTTATGTTCAACAAACCATTGCCGGTTTATTTGTCATTTTCAAGCCCAATAGGCTCATGAGTATTTTTCTTGTCCACTAAGACCTTCCAACTTATTTTCGGCCTTTTCACAATATTTAGACTTTTTTCGTCGAAGTACAAACTCTTTTAAAGTTTCGAGACATGGGACAAAAAAATTAAAGAAATTCTCGTGAGTAGTTTCGTACATGTCACCAAGTTTACAACCTTTATTTTCTCACTCGAGTATCAAATAAAATGATACTAATACTACTATGCACTCATTTTAATATATTTTTCGATACAAAAAATATGAAAAGAGTAAGAAAATGTTGGAGTTGAGTTTGTGAGTTATGTGAGTTACAACTTACAAGACGAAGGAAAAGGAAACTTTGACAAATTACTCTCATGTGTTCCATTCCACAAATTTGCATTTAAATACCCAAAAAAAAAAAAAATAGAATTCATTTTTCCATATATTAAAATAAATAATGTGAAAGCTGATTTAGAATCGTTATAGGAAAGTGTTTTTGAATTAAATTAAAGTATCAAACAAAAAAATCCGTGGAATTAACTTCCAATCTATAACCCTTTGCGTTTCATGGGTATATATCAATCGAAAAAAATCTCTTATTATCTGCATTAGTACTGTGATAATCATATATATTTTCGTATTATCAAAAAAAAAAAAAAATCTTCAAGAGCATAGATATAATCTTGCAGTAGTCACGTTCAAAATTAAGTAAAATGTTCATGATATGTAAATTTAACGTGAAAAATGAGATGACCAAGTGTTTTATTCAATCACATCTTTTGCAGATGCATATGTGGGGTCATGGTTCATTGGTTCGCAATACCGAAAAGGTCCAGAATCGCTCCGGGGGGCTGCCATGTTACTGTTGTGCTGAAGGTTGTAAGAACAACATAGACCATCCAAGATCAAAGCCTCTCAAAGACTTTAGAACTCTTCAAACGCATTACAAGACTCGATTTATACCAAGACTCTGTTAGTGTGTTAACATATAAACGACACCGTTCTGTCTCTCTCGCTTTTCGATCTTCCTCCGTCTCCTCCCCTGCCGTCGTAACTTTCTCGGCTTCGATTTTAAGATTCAGTAGGAGTAAGGTGTGTGTTTTGTCTTCCTTATCCTGAATTTTATTCTCGCCTTCGATTTAAAGGATCCATCTTTGATTTTGGGTTTTTGTTTTTTCTTTATAGAGAGTCGAAGGCTTCTATTGTTCAATTCAATACAAGGAACTTGTTGTTGTTGTGACTCTAATCGAGTATACAGTTGAATCCCTCATGAGTTCTTCGATAAGCAATTTGCCAGATGAGATACTTGGCAAAATCTTGTCTTTGCTTCCGACAAAAGAGGCTGCTTCCACATCAATTCTGTCCAAGAGGTGGAGGAATCTGCTGAGTCTTGTTGATAACCTTTGCTTTGATGATTCGATGGTTGTGTATCTCAACGAAGAAGAAGCTTTAAGTGGTTCTCATCGCTTCTCTGATTTCGTAGACAAGACATTTGCTCTGTTAGGCAATTCACACATGAAGAAATTATCTCTCTGTCATATACCTACACCTGACCGTTACGATGCATACCAACGTTGGATATGGACTGCAATGGAACGTGGTTTACTGGAACTACACTTGCACTCCTATACACGCTATCTTGGTGGTGTTGATATAGAGACAGATTTGTTCACGAGCAATACACTGGTCAAGCTCACACTATCCGGTGGATATGCTCTTCAAGCCAAACGCGTGTTTTTCCCAGCGCTCAAATCACTTACTCTATATTTAACTTCAAGGCTTGATCATCCCAACTTTTGTCGGCTCATCGATGGCTGCCCTGTACTGGAAGAACTGTTCATATGTGAAGCTGATTCTTGGGATATGCCATGTTGCGGTGTAGGTGTGGAAAGTGCATCCATCAAGCGACTTGTGGTTTCTGTCAATCTTCCGGGTTCTAAACACGATCACCATGTAGCTTATTTCAAAGCAGCAAGTCTTCTTTACCTTGACTATTCTAGTTATGTCTCTGAAAATTATGAGTTAACTGATTTGGGTTCGCTTGTCGAAGTCAGGCTGAGTCTCCGGTTATGGGACTCAACTAAAGATTATGATTATTCTGATGAAGATGATGACTATTATGGTTACTATTATGATGATGAACCGGCTATATTTGGTGATATTACAAATCTAGTTGCAGGTATAAGCAACATTACGACCCTTCACTTGTCTCCCGATTCCCTTGAGGTCAGTTCTTCTTCTTTTTCTATTGATTGTGTTTTGGTTTGTGGAGGATTAGAATCAATCTACTACTAGCTAGCAAGGTCGCTCACTTTTATAAATTCAGGCGTTTCATTTCTGTTGTGAATCCATGCCCATGTTCAACAACCTCCTTAATCTATCTATTGAGAGTAACAATGATAAAGGTTGGCAAGTAATGCCACTTCTCCTCACGAGTTGTCCAAATCTACACACTTTAGTCTTCAAGGTATTATTAAATTTACTTATTTGAGACTCCTTTTTCTTGTTAGTGTTGCCCATTAATTATTATTGGTCTCTGGTCTCAGGGTCTTGTACACAGAGTAACAAATAAATGCGGAGACGCATGCGCTTGCATCCCTAAGACGCAGAAGCATGAGAAAAAGAAGAAGATGAAGATTGTGAAGGAGGAGGAGAAATTATGCTGTTTATGGACATGTCAAGTGAAGGTGCTAGAGATTTCAGAGTACGGTGGTTCTTTTCAAGAGCTGAAACAGATGAGACACTTCTTGGGCAAGTTGGAGTGTCTTGAAACTGTGAAAGTTGGTGTTGCTGCGGACAACGACAACAACACTGAGTTCTTGCGAGCTAATCTGAGGACTCTCTCCAGACTTTCACCAAAGTGCAACAACATCCAATTCGTCTGACCTTTTCTTTCCTTGGTCTTTTTCGCTTTGACGTGGGAATGTGAAAGTAACTTAGCATGTATAGTATATGGTTATATCACTATAATATCATTAAATTTTGTTACAACCTCTTTCTGGAAGATGTACAATACCTATGCGTTTTTCTTCTTCCTGTGAACTTTTAGTTTATGGTTAGTACAAATCAAGATCCTATATTAGTCTGCTGGTATGTGTTAGCTTTTTCTCTGTGTTTGTGGAGATCCGACAAGAGAAGTAGCTAGAGAACATTGTGTGTGCATGCTTTGTTAGACAAAGATCTCCAAGGAGGTGGAGCACTCTCAGAGACCAAGGCCAAACCAGTTGATTTGGTGGTGGAGAGTATTAGTATCTTAGGCTTTATTGAGTTGGTATTGGAAGGTTTATTCATGGATCTTGAATAGACGTTTATCCGTATAAATACCCAAAAGTAGAGCAACAAACTAGTCAAGGAATCTGAGACAAACTCTTGACAGATTCTAATGAAGATTGCAGGGAAAAGAATGGTAACAATTTTATTAGGGTGGAGCAAGGAATCATGAACAACATTACAATGACAAAATTTCTGGAAAGAAACAAAAGAGCAAACCAAGTAAAAAAACCAAACGAATCCGGCTCAAGTAGGAAGGAGTCTCTTAGAGAGGCCTGATCAAAAAACCGGCTCAGGATTATGTCTGCTCTGTTTCGGCAAAATGAACATAACATAAAAAAGATTAAACTGACTAAAAAACCAAGATTTCTTAACAAGAAGATCGAGTCTCCTTTCTACCTGCACTTGTGTTGCAGCTTCATACATTGTCACCTACAATATCCGGTCAGGTCCAGCCAAAGCCACACTCCTCTGCCTTAAAATTACCTACAAAATCCGGTCAGGTACAGCCAAAGCCACACTCCTTTGTACTAGACGGAACCGCCTCAAAATTCAAAAAAAAGAGCCTGAGAGAGGAAATATTAGAAAGATCTCCCTTGGGAAAAGCACGCAATACAAAATCTCAACACAACACAAAGACTAAAATGCGAGAGAGATCACTTACATGTGCATCAGATCATTAATAAACGCCTCCAGCCAAATTGCAACTTCATTTCTCTCCGCAACTAATTGCTTCTTCATCTCTCTCCTTCTCAAAAAGCGAATTGCTTCTTCGTTACGCTCTCTCTCGCTCGCTCGCTCTCCTATTCTACCATGGATCAGGATCTTGTGGAAGAATCACCGCAGAAGAGAGTAAGAGGCGATCCTCCGCCGCCTGATCATCCCGCCGTGAGTTTCCTCCCTCTCCTTCGAACCTTTTAGATCAATCGATGGCGGTTTAGGGTTTTAGGAACTGAATTTTCCAACTTGAACGAAAAGAAAGAACGGTTACGATGGAGGTTTTAGAGTTTTAGGGTTACAGATGGAGGAGGTTTTAGCCTTATAGGGTTACGATGGAGGTTTTAGAGCTTTATCGTTACGATTACGATCTGAACAAAAATGAAAGAACGGTTACGATTCGAACCATAGAATATGAACGGCTTAGTCTTTTGGTCCCTTGGATTTTTGATTGGGTTTGGTCAAATCATTATCAATGGAGACCAAAACCAAAGGGTTACACGATTCTCGAACCATATAAGATATGACTTAGGGTTTTTGGTCAACTTCAACCATTAAATTAAAGGCTTACGATTCTTTTTGGGCCTTTTGTTTTGTTTTACTCCTATTTGTTGGTATTTTTGTTTGGGCCCAAGTCTAAGTTTAATATGTCACCTCCTCTCCTCTGTTTCTCTTTCACAGGGTAACGATGATCAAACAAACGACCTTGATGTTGAGAGTGATGTTGCACGACAAATACAAAATTTAGGCACTCTATTAGGCATAGAGGTGAACCTTACCAATATCCTATTAGAGAGAAATGCTGTACCGGGTCTCTTCAAATCGCATTTCCACTATCATGAGTCTTGTGCATTGGTCGGTTGCACGCTTCCTCGAGAGAAGACTTTCGCTGACAACAAACGTTACTGCTGTCGTGGCCATAAAAAGCTCTCTTCAAAATGGTCTGAGAAGAAGGCAGCATTTCATGTTTATGACGGTTTAAATGAGAACAAAGTTCAAAGAGATGAGCTTTGTTGCACGACCGTGAAGCTTAAAGCGGATGGGATAGACGTTGGCATTCCTACTCTAGAAACCAGCAGTGTCTTCACCAAACCTCCTTGGGAAAACGAGGACCTCTTCCCCACAGCTCTTCGTGATCACGAAGGGAGCCGAGACTACTTATTTTTTGCCACACCTCCTCCCTTTTACATCACATATGACAAGGCCCTACCGATCAAGTGGAAACCAAACCCTCGCCTTAAACGACAAATCAATGGCCAAGAGGTCGCTATTACTGGCTTGACCATAAACGTACCACTTGATGCAGAGGGACAGAAGAGATACGCATGGAAACTCTTTCTCTACCAGTATAGAGATCTTTCCCTCTACTGTCTCTCGTTGGTGGTCCAAGGAGCTCTACGCCTAAAACTCCCTGCTAAAACGCCAAAACAGAAACGGCCCAAACCTGATGAAGACCCGAATGGTGGTGAGGAAAAAGGGAAAGAGATCAGAGAAGTTTCTACTCATGTAATCCCAAATTCAAATACTGGTAAGACCAAGCCACCTACGACTAGGAGACAAGGCAGAGGCAAGGATATTGTTGCCTCTGGAAACACCATGAGTAAATGCTGTTCTGTCTTTGACGACTTTGGCCTGGAAAAAGTCAGGCAGGGTTTGATCTGTCCTGTTTCCACAGGCAAGGCAACATGATACGTTATGACTTATTACTTTTATGGGGTAACCCCATTTAACTAGGTCCAGTAAAACTAACCTTCCTTGTTTTTCAGTTTACTTTGCTGATGTGTGTGGATCAACTCTAGACTCTCACCATGGATTTGTTGCTGAATGTGGTCCATCTAGGGATGTAGACTTAGGTGAACCCCTTTCCTTGACTTTGCTTATGTTTTCTGGCCATCATTCCTTAGAGAATACTAGAGTGAATTCTCCAATGGAATCTGCAGGCTTTCATGTGGATGATTCAGAAGTAACATTGAATGTTTCTCTGGGTAAACAATCTGTGGGAGGGGAATTATATTTCCAAGGCGCAAGTTACAATAACATTGGGAAAAGATATGATGCAAAGTCAGAGGTGTGTTGAGGAGCTCTTTTCTTTTTCGTTTTACATTCCACTTCTCACTGAAGCAGGAAACGTTTGTGGAGGAGATATACGAGTTTCTGTAGTGTTGATACTTGCAAAATGTTTGCTGTTTTTGCTCATGGTTTTGCAGGTTGCCGTTTTTGCTCCTTCACGGTCATCACCCTATGTTACCATAACACTAAAGACCATGTTTGAGGTGATTCTCTCAATTAGTTTTTCTTTTAACACATTTGTGAAATTGGAATTTCTTCCAAAATTTGAAATGTTTCCTTCTGCAGCCACTTTACAGGGAGTTGTATACATTTGACCCCACATTCTTTTTCACCCCCTCTTTCCTGAAGGCCATCAATGGAGACACAGTGGAAAGCTTTGGAAGTGTAGTTTCTGTATCGTCTCCAGGAATATTTGTCTCTGAAATGCTTCAGCCTAAATTCTATGAGATGATGCTATCAAAGGTGAAAAAACCCATCATCTTACTACTTAGTCTATGTCATGCTCTTACCTCTTTGTTTTGTTCATGAGACCAAACCAACTGTTTGATTAATCAGGTAGATAAGTTCGGAGAGTGGGTTAATGTGGCAAAGATCCAGATCACGAAACCAAACACCATGAGGAAATACGGTACCTTGCTTGACAACTTTGGACTGGATAGCATGCTTGAAAATATCATGGAGGGTTTTGTCTTTCCTGTTTCCAAAGGCAAAGCAATATATGACTTGAATGCATTTGAAAGACTTTTTTTATTGGTTAACACTAAACTCTCTGTTGTTTTGCAGTGTTCCCGGAAGTGTGTGGATCAAAGTCTGACTCTCAGAATGGATTTGTTGTTGAATATGGCACAGATAGGGATATTGACTTAGGTGAGTCCCGCCTTGTTCTCTGCGATCTTTCCTAAACTTTAAAATTATTCTGTGATACTTAATCTGCTTAGAGGAAACCCAAGTAAAGATTCTTTAATAGCAAACACAGAATTTGGTTTAGTATAAGCAATCATCTTTTTAACCTGCAGGCTTTCATGTGGATGATTCAGAACTAACATCGAATGTGTCTTTGAGTAAACATTTTGAGGGAGAGGAATTATATTTCAGAGGCACACGATGCAAGAAACATGATGTGAATACAGATACAAAGCCAGAGGTTTGAGCTTTTGTCTTTCTCCTATTACATTCCAAATTCCGGTATTGGCAAAATGGTTTCAAGTAATAAAGTAAACAACCATTTTCTCACTAAAGCAGGAAATGTTTGGTGACTCTCACACACCGGATCAGGCTGTACTACGCCATGGTGATAGAGCAACAACATCTGGTCATGGGGTCGATATGATTCTTTGGTCCAGAAGGTAAACAATATTACAAGCTTGCCTCTCAGATTTTTCAGATCATAGTTGATATAATTGTCTTGTGCAACTCTGTCTTTAACAGAGATGCAATCATATCAGAAGGAATTCTCAAGCTGATGCGGTCAAAGCTTCTGAGAAAAGAAATAAAAGCAAAGCCAGACTCTTGTTGCCAGAAGAAAGGTAATAACCCAAAAGACAATGGTTTTGCACCAGATTATATATGACATGTTGATTTGAGCATGGTTATGAATCCATTGCGGTCCTTAATTGCATGAGTTTATTGGAACAGAGGGTGAAGCTGAAGCTTGATGAAACCATACCCGTAGCTTACACAAATAGCAATCAATCGGTCAAGCCCTGAAAGTATTACTATTCTGCTTTGACACTTTACTTGGAAAAAAAACTGAGTATTTTGGGGCTCTTTGTGTTCTGAAACTTCTTGTCTCTCACGTTACTATGTACATGAATTTTTTACCTGCACAAGGAACAAGGTTATAGTATAGTATTGATCTCAAGAAGTCGTAGAATTTTACTTCTTGTTGGCGGATGAATAATCCCAATTTTTTTTCACCAAATGCAGTCTGTTAAAGTTTTGCTTTCCATCCTCCAACAATGTTATTGTAATCCTCCTGTTGTAAGATTTTGTGATCGATATGAGACGCAACAAAGAGGTATTTTGCCCAATGAATTAGTTGTGACAAATGTTTCAGCTTCCTTTTTCTTTCTCAACTCTTTTTAATGAAACACTACCTGTAGCTTTGATGTTACAGGTAGCTGACAATGTTCTGAGCAAAGTGAGGTTCACTGACTTGTAGAAAGCTCAGTTACAAAGTATCCATCGATATCATATAAAAACTCATACACAATATATAATGTTCTCTGACCTGAAAAGCTCAAGCAAAATAGTGAAAGACATATTTGGTAACTGAGTTTTTAATTCTTAAACAAAGAGATACATAGTTCTTCAACAACATAGAGAGACTAATTCTTAAACAAAGGAAACATACACATACATAGCTCTTAGCTCGCTCTTAAATAAGCAAGCAAAAATACACTTGTTTTATTTTTTTAAATGGCTATTTCCCTTTGAATGGCCTGAGGTGTCGATTTGTTGTAGCATTAATTTACGGGCACCCTGTATTGTAAGCCTTGAAATAATCAACACACTCTATCAGAAGTTCCAACTTGCCCAAAGAAACGTCTCATCTGTTCCAGCTCTTGAAAAGAACCTCCATATTCTAAAATCTGAAGCACCTTCACTTGACATGTCAATAAACAACATAATGCCTCCTCTTTCTTTACAATCTTCCTCTGCTTCTTAGGGTTGCAAGACCCTGAAACCATAGACCAATTTGACATGTATAATTAATGGGCAACACTAACAAGTAAAATAATCTCAATAAGTACCTTGAAGACTAAAGTGTGTAGATTTGGACAACTCTTGATCAAAAGTGGCATTACTTGCCAACCTTTCTCCTTGTTACTCTCAATAGTTAAATTAAGGAGGTTGTTGTACAAATACACAACAAGGTTGCTATAGTTCAAGCTAAGGATCCCCTATCTAAACAGTAGATACAAATGCTAAGAATGAACAGTGGCCTCCATCTAAACTTGGTCACTAATCTCCTCCCCTTCTTTTCTAATGAACAATGCCTCCGTATTTAACTCTGGAAAATCGACTTTCTCATAACGAAATAACCGTGACACCTTCAAAGCAAAGTAAAGGTTTTAACTTTGAACACAGAATTCAATATTTCATCTAACCAACAGAGGAATTGCAGAAACCCATATAAGGAGTACTCTGGGCTACAATCAGAAACAACACAACTACAAAATATAGCATATTCATAGAGTGTATCAATTTGAGTGTGATACTTGCTGACCTCTTTAAAATGATTGAAGAGGCAGTTGCAGAGTCGCATATCCTCAAGAGTTCCTTTAGGAGATTCACATCTCGATCTTTTCAAAGTCTTCAGTCACCACCAATGGATTCAGTGAGTCACAACCGAACCAGGAGCTCAATTGCGTGTGAATTGCTCGCATCTCTTCTTCTTATTCTTCTTCCAGGCAAAAAACGGAGAGAGCCTCTAGGTGAAAGAGAGACTTCGAGTGTGGTGAAGATGTTTCGGTTTAAATCAAATAGAAACCGGTACGTGTGAAACAAAAGAGTTAACCGTAACGGTGTCGTTTAGAGGATGACAGAATCTTCTTGATTTTGGTGGTTTTTCTCAACTAATCTGACCTATGATTCCAACATCAAGTCATGTTTAACCAGACATGTTAAATGAATCAAAAATACAAATAAATAATCTTTCACTTCCCAGTGTAATAAAACACCATTAATATAAGTTGCCAAATAAATAATGTTGCCAAATGATTTTTAATCTAAATTAATATAAGTCTATGACCATACTCTTTGAACGTGATTTTTCCGGCATCAGCAAGGCTATCAAGTACCTTTATTTTCTCACTCGAGTATCAAATAAAATGATACTAATACTACTATGCACTCATTTTAATATATTTTTCGATACAAAAAATATGAAAAGAGTAAGAAAATGTTGGAGTTGAGTTTGTGAGTTATGTGAGTTACAACTTACAAGACGAAGGAAAAGGAAACTTTGACAAATTACTCTCATGTGTTCCATTCCACAAATTTGCATTTAAATACCAAAAAAAAAAAAATAGAATTCATTTTTCCATATATTAAAATAAATAATGTGACAGAGCAGAGAGATATAGGAGATGATAGAGCTACAGTTTTGTTTCAGTCGTACTATTTTGTGCTCTTCTTCTTCGGACCCTTTAAAGCTTCCGAATCTAACTGCTTCAATCAACCAAAACAATGAAAAGCTTTGATCGGACCAAGATTTCATATAATATATGTTTGTGTGTTTCTTTGCTAACTTCTTTTTCTCTCTCTACGACATTGTTTTAAGGTTTCTTTCGATATGTCTAATCAAAATAGAAAGTACCTCGGTTCAAAGCCTCGTGGACTATTATAAACCAACACTCGAGGCTCGAAGATTCTGTTTGAGCAGTCACCTACAGTTCATGACTATATTAATCTAATCTTATTCATTCATGTAGCAAAAGCCAAAAAACGGCATAAAATGGTTGCAATTAATCCAAATGTTTCGTTCTAGTAGCATAATTCAAAAAATTAACAAATTTCTAATATCACAACAATTTTAGAAGGCAAATACTGGAAAAATAAAACAAAAAGGGTCCAAAAGTTATTCGATTTAATCCATGATTTTCCAAAATCAAATTTTTGATGCAAGTCTGGTTAATTTAGCATTATATTTTTTTTAATGTCTAATAAATAGTCTAAAATCCAAAAACTTGTTGCATATGACCTACCTAACAACCCATTTTTGTTAATAATTTGACAACATGCAATGTGCCAATATAAACAAACCTATGGGTATTTTATGTTTGATAGGATCAACCTACTTTGATGTCAAACATATAATTTCTATTTAAATGTTAACAGCAAAACTGGAAATTTAAAACCGAAATTAGAAAAGAGAAACCTATGCGTTTTCTGATATCCAAAATTTCATCGAACTTGACCTAAAATATTCAAATTTTTAATGATATAGGAAAGCCGGTCAAATGTTTTCAGAAACGTATCTTTGATCGCAGCATATGATTTCTATTTTTAAAATTTAAGAGCTTTAACTAATCGAGACTCAAAAATAAGACTCTGTTAGTGTGTTATCATCTAAACGACACCGTTCTGTCTCTCTCGCTTTTCGATCTTCCTTCGTCTCCTCCCCTGCCGTCGTAACTTTCTCGGCTTCGATTTTAAGATTCAGTAGGAGTAAGGTGTGTGTTTTGTCTTCCTTATCCTGAATTTTATTCTCGCCTTCGATTTAAAGGATCCATCTTTGATTTTGGGTTTTTGTTTTTTCTTTATAGAGAGTCGAAGGCTTCTATTGTTCAATTCAATACAAGGAACTTGTTGTTGTTGTGACTCTAATCGAGTATACAGTTGAATCCCTCATGAGTTCTTCGATAAGCAATTTGCCAGATGAGATACTTGGCAAAATCTTGTCTTTGCTTCCGACAAAAGAGGCTGCTTCCACATCAATTCTGTCCAAGAGGTGGAGGAATCTGCTGAGTCTTGTAGATAACCTTTGCTTTGATGATTCGATGGTTGTGTATCTCAACGAAGAAGAAGCTTTAAGTGGTTCTCATCGCTTCTCTGATTTCGTAGACAAGACATTTGCTCTGTTAGGCAATTCACACATGAAGAAATTATCTCTCTGTCATATACCTACACCTGACCGTTACGATGCATACCAACGTTGGATATGGACTGCAATGGAACGTGGTTTACTGGAACTACACTTGCACTCCTATACTGGTGGTGTTGATATAGAGACAGATTTGTTCACGAGCAATACACTGGTCAAGCTCACACTATCCGGTGGATATGCTCTTCAAGCCAAACGCGTGTTTTTCCCAGCGCTCAAATCACTTACTCTATATTTAACTTCAAGGCTTGATCATCCCAACTTTTGTCGGCTCATCGATGGCTGCCCTGTACTGGAAGAACTGTTCATATGTGAAGCTGATTCTTGGGATATGCCATGTTGCGGTGTAGGTGTGGAAAGTGCATCCATCAAGCGACTTGTGGTTTCTGTCAATCTTCCGGGTTCTAAACACGATCACCATGTAGCTTATTTCAAAGCAGCAAGTCTTCTTTACCTTGACTATTCTAGTTATGTCTCTGAAAATTATGAGTTAACTGATTTGGGTTCGCTTGTCGAAGTCAGGCTGAGTCTCCGGTTATGGGACTCAACTAAAGATTATGATTATTCTGATGAAGATGATGACTATTATGGTTACTATTATGATGATGAACCGGCTATATTTGGTGATATTACAAATCTAGTTGCAGGTATAAGCAACATTACGACCCTTCACTTGTCTCCCGATTCCCTTGAGGTCAGTTCTTCTTCTTTTTCTATTGATTGTGTTTTGGTTTGTGGAGGATTAGAATCAATCTACTACTAGCTAGCAAGGTCGCTCACTTTTATAAATTCAGGCGTTTCATTTCTGTTGTGAATCCATGCCCATGTTCAACAACCTCCTTAATCTATCTATTGAGAGTAACAATGATAAAGGTTGGCAAGTAATGCCACTTCTCCTCACGAGTTGTCCAAATCTACACACTTTAGTCTTCAAGGTATTATTAAATTTACTTATTTGAGACTCCTTTTTCTTGTTAGTGTTGCCCATTAATTATTATTGGTCTCTGGTCTCAGGGTCTTGTACACAGAGTAACAAATAAATGCGGAGACGCATGCGCTTGCATCCCTAAGACGCAGAAGCATGAGAAAAAGAAGAAGATGAAGATTGTGAAGGAGGAGGAGAAATTATGCTGTTTATGGACATGTCAAGTGAAGGTGCTAGAGATTTCAGAGTACGGTGGTTCTTTTCAAGAGCTGAAACAGATGAGACACTTCTTGGGCAAGTTGGAGTGTCTTGAAACTGTGAAAGTTGGTGTTGCTGCGGACAACGACAACAACACTGAGTTCTTGCGAGCTAATCTGAGGAC